GACGGCCCGCCCGGCGCTCTCGGGGGCGGGGGGGGGGGTCAGGCCCTCCGCGGGTTCCGTCGGGCATGTCTCCTTCTCCTCCTCCTTCTGCTCCCTCTCCACTGCCTCTACCTCCTCCTCCTCCTCCTCCTCATCCTCCTCCTCCTCCTCCGAAACAGTAAAACATGAACGGGCACGAATTGCAAAGTCAACGTTTTTTGCCTTCTCACATTTCGCTTGCGATGGGCTCTTGTCGGGCCGGGCGAAAGGGGGGGATTGGGAAAGGGGGGGTTACGAAATCTGCTGCATGCAGCTGGTTTCGGCCTCACCGAGGGGCCCATTCCTCGATACGTGGGCGCCTCCCGGCGCCGGGAGGCGCCGGGAAAATCAGCTACGTGAGCTGATTCTCCCCCCTCCCCTTTTGCCATCCCCCCCTTTCGCCCGACCCGAATGTCCCTCTGCACTCTGCAGGAGGAGAATTCAAACAGAGTTCACACATAGTGAGGAGAGGATGTTTCAATCATTTATTTGACTATGTTTTGAGGTACGGTTGACTATGGTTCATCTGTCTTTCAAAGTCCGCCTCTAGGAGGACATGCCCGACCTAATCTTAGGGCACATTGGCAACCCCACCTCCGCATCCGCCGTGTTGCGCTGCACAGACCTCGAGAAAGTAGTTTCATCGACATGGTTTCTCAGGGAGGTCCGGCTGGATACCTTGGATCGACACTGGGTTCCCCTGGCGTCGGCGTCGCCCTTGGCGCGTTCCGCGAACAATGCATCTAAATTGAATTCTTATCACCTTGGTGCAGGCTAGGCGTGAAAACACTCAAGGGTGGGAGTACAAGATGGGATTGTCGCTTGCCCTTCCTCCTCTTCCTCCTCTCTTCCCCCTTCCCACTCCCCATTTGATCCTTATTTGTCTTTTGGCTTTAATCCAGCAGGGATGCATATTTGAGATGCTGGCCCTCCTCCCCGCCTCTTCTTTTCCTTATCCCTGTGCTCCTCCACCTCCCCTTCTCTTTTTGCCTCAGGCCGTTGTGGCTCAATGTTGGGCTTGTCACAGCTGTCTCCAGAGCAGCAGTCGCTGTCTCGTTTTTTTGTTTGTTTTTTTCTCTGATTGCCTTTAAATGGATATCAGCCTTCACGCTTTCAGTGAGATCCTGCCGGAACATTCCATGTCGCGATACGTGATCTCCGTATTGCAGATGGCAGCGACGCTCGTCGCGGACCTCGCATGCGTGCGGCGGTTGCGGGTTCAGCACGACGTTGGTTTCGCGGTTTGTGTGCAGATGCGTCAAGTCGGCCCCCTCTTTGGTCGCCAGAGCTGCACGTGGGCGTGGGGGTGGTCCGTCACCACCACATAGACGAACGAGAGCAATAGCCAGGAACACGCGCTGCGTGACATAATCAAGAATGTGGAGCAGGCCCGTACTGCTATTGACAGATTCCTGGCAGTGGCACAGCAACGCAGGCTTTGGATATACAAATGCAGGAAAGGCACGCGTAGCTCGCCAGTCCCAAGGCCCACCGCACAGTCCGCAACACGAGACACCGTTTGCACAGAGCTGAAAACAGCACAGACAAATTGACAGGGCAGGCCACGAAGCAGCGCGAAGTGCTGCAACAGGCAAACGTGAAGCTCCTTTGTTTGTTGGCCCATTTTCTGTTGGCAAGCAACAAGCTTCAGCAGATGCGTGCGGAGTTGGTGGGCAGTTTGCCCACGAGTGCTGTGCACTAGTATTGTTGGATGGTGACGACTTCGATATCTACGAGGAGGCGCTGAAGCGCAGACTGCAGTAGATGAACAAGCTACGCGCGGCGCCGACCCCGTTTGACGCCGATGGCGATGCGGACATGCGTGCTGCTGTTGGCGGTCTTGCAATGCAATGGTTATCCAGTCATGTCGGGGCAGATATGTGCACAGGGGCAAGTGCTGGCGCGGGAGCTGGACTTGCAGCACCAGCAGGCTCAGCAGCACCAGCACTGGCAGCAGCAGCACCACCACCACCACCATCACCACCAGAGCCCAACAGCGCACGCTTCCCGGACCCCGACTTCGGCGGGGAATTGGAAGATTTGCATTGGCCACCCCAGAGGGTCCACATGAGAGAGCTCGGCGAGGATATCGCCATGCTGTTTGCCAAGCGCCAAAAGCGCAGGTAACCCGACTGTGCTGTCGAGACGTTCGGCTTGCCATCTAGTAGCCATCAGCCCCCCCCTTTTCACCTCCCCCCCGCCTCGACCCCGACGGCGCGGGCCTGCGTGGCAACTTGAGACTGCGATGAGACCTATATCGGTAATTCGCGGCACACGTCACGAGACAGATCGGCCGTCTCGCGAGCGCTCACTTTTGTTGACGATTGGCTCCTCGGAAGACATTCTCGGGGCCAGATGAGATTGCGTTGGTGAGCTCGGCGGGCGCACGTCGGCCTTCCCCGCGATGGCGGGCGCCTCAGGCAGGCCGAAGTGGGGCGCCGCGTTCTTGGCGCGGCCTCACCTCGGCCCGCGCTGGCCAACTGATGGGGGCATTCGTGCTCATGCCTGGGCAATGAAAGACAGCGTAAATACCCCATGCCCCTCCTGCGCTGGCCCTTGCCGATGCGCGCGCACTTTCACTTAGGCGCGCGACGGCGCGAGGGGAGTTCGTCGTTTTCACAGTCGTCGGCAAGGCCGTTGGGCTTGACCGGCCGTCTCCGCGCGGGCGCGAATGGAATTTGAGCCCTGCCTTGCTCGAGACGACAGGCCTCGCGGGAAGGCTCGGTTCTGCGCCGCTTGCCCCCTTCCGCCCCGCGTGGAATTAGCCCCTGCGATCGCGCGCCGACCGCGATCGGTTTTATCGCGCGACGCACATTGCCATGTTCCCCAGCGCCGTCGGGGCCACCAGTCGCGCTTCGCAGCGGGGCAGTCGACCGCGGAGACTTGTGCAGCTTGCGATGAAGAGCGAGCCATCGACCCACGCAGGTTGGCATGCACCAGTCGCATCCGAGACTTCCCGTCGCGCTCCCGTTCGGCCCCATCCGCAAGCCGCGCAATTAGGGCCTCGCCAGAGACGCGGCCGAAGGGGCAGCGCAGTCGGCCCCAGGCAAACCAGCTGGAGGTAACTCTTCAACGAAGCGTGGATGGCGTTCGCTGGCGCGTTCGGGCTAGAGCAAGGTCGTCTGGGGGGCGCGGGACTCAGAGAAAGGAAACGCAGCTCCGTGGACCCCGAGCTTGCCGCCCCTTTCGGATGCGATCGCTGCGGCGATCTATGCGGGGCTTGGCCGTCTCGGCGTGTCTCCGAGATCGCGAGCGTCAATTCCAGGCCCCTCGACGCGGCCAATAAAGCTAGCGCTGACCCTCGGCGACGCGGCAAGGCCGTGGACGGCGCGGGATGCCCGGCGGCCAGCGCAACTCGATCTTGCGTGCTGGCCTCCGGCCAGCGCCGCCGATCCGGGGCGCTCCGGATAATGATGATGATGATGATGAGGGTTTTCATGATGACGCTTCTAATGGCAATGGCCATGGGGCCATCTTGGGCGTCTTGGACCGATCGCTCGGTGATCCGGGGCTTTCTTGCGCCGTCTCGAGGTCCTCTCCGGGCTCCGTCTTGGGCCTCTCTTGGGCATGGGGAAGTCGCGCGGGAACATTCCGGGGGGCCCGGAGGGCGCGCGGGGGGGCCCCAGAGATTTGAGAGCTCGGGGCCCGGGCCCGCGAAGAATCCCCAGGCTTGGGGGCCGAGGCTCAGGGGACTGAGCAAGGGGCCTGGGGTGGCCTCTTGCCGGTTGTTTTGGGGCCTCATTCGGGCTTCTAGGGACCTCCCGGGGCCCCGGGACATTCTTGGGGGCTCGTGGACCCCCCCGCCCCCGGGCATTAAATGCGTCGGGAATGGCGCTCCCCCCGCCCCCCGCCCCTTCCCGAGCCCCCCGGGGGCTTCCTGCTCGCGGGCCCCGCCGCCCCCGAGCTTTAAATGCGCCGGGAATGGCGCCCCCCCCCTCCAGAGCGGCAGAGCGAGCTCAAGTCCACGCTTCAGAAACACGCGCCGGATCGGATGACTTCAAATCTGCCCTGGGAAGGCGCGGCGAAGTGGTCGGGCAGAGCGATCGCGCAGGCAAGGGGCAGCGGGCGCGCGGCGCGGCGAAGCGGTCGGGCAGCGGGCGAAGAAACGGGCCCAGAAGGGGCCACCCAAGGGCCCCCCAAGGCCCTCCAGGACTCCTGGGGCGAATGGCAGGAAAAAGCGATCGGGGGGGAGCTGGCGCAACGCGTTGCTTGACTGAGCTCATTTATAAGTGGGCGCCCACTGTCTGCGACCGAGACGCACCCGAGCATTGCCAGCAGCGCCCCCCGCCCCGCCCGCGCCCGCCCGCGCGCCCCAGCCCAGCGCCGCCGCCGCGCGTGCGGTCGCCAGTCGCCCACGTGCATTTCTGAAAGCTGAAGGGGGGGCGCCCCCCGAGCCCAGGGTCGCATCGACCCGTCCGCGCCTTGTGGGGGCGAGGGGGCCCGAGCATTTGCCGGGTGCTTCGGCTGCGGGCGCGCGCGGCGCAGGCGCGAGCTGTTTTTTCTTGCCCCCGCTTCCAGGGGCGGCAGTTTCCCGGGCAACTGTCGTCGGGGTCGGGCGCGGCCGCTGCGACGCGCGGGGCCCCTCGCCGCGCCGTGGATTTTAGGATTGCCCCCCAAGCTTTTGTTATGGATGTTCTTCTCCCTTTTCCTATCGACCCGGGGGGGGCCGGCTCGCTGCGGGGCGCCGGCCCCGCGCGAGTCCTGGGGCGGCCCCGCGGACTCGCGCGGGCCCGTTCCAATGGCGTGCATCCTCGGCCCCCGGCGTTTTTAGGCTTCTGCCAGGTCGCAGCGTCGCGGGCGCAGCGCGGCACGTGGCGACCAATGTTGAAGTCGCCGTTCAGACAGACAAGATGCGCGCTGGGGTGATATGGGGCGGAACTGACGCCATGGGAGTTCCGACCTCAGTGCCGTTGAAAAGCGCGCCGTGGCCCACGGGTTCAAATAGGCGCCTGCCAAAACGAGGCGCGAAGTTTGGAGAGGGC